AAAAAAAAAAAAAAAAAAAAAGAAAAAAAAAGAAAAAAAACAGATAAAGATATAGTGAGAAATTGTTTTATCACAAGTAAAAGATTATGAACCTCTCAAAATCTACGAAAAAAAATTCCATAATGTTATTGAATCTATCCTACTGACAGACACTGCAACCAAATAAATGACTAACTCCCCAGATTCTAATACTCAGAAGAAATCAGAGGTTGACCAATATAATGAACAAAAGAAAACAAGGAACTAGGCCAAATACTGATAAAGTGACAAAATTCCCTCTTCCTGCAAAATATAACTCGTAACTTGAATTTTTTACCGTAGACTACCACTGCACTATAAAAGTTCTTTAAATCAAGACGGAACATCAAATATACAGATTTTCCAAAAAGTAAATAATTCCTAAGATAATAATAAACACTGACCTATCATTTTCATAAGGCATGCTTGTAATCAAAAATAAAATCACTACGTGAAAATCACCAGAGAAAATTTCATTTCAAACTTTCTCCCTTTAAGATAAACCCACTTAAAAAAAAAAAAAAGTAATTGTCAAACTGTGCCTCCTTCTCACAAACCAGAAGGAAACTCTAAGAGGAACCTGAAGAAAATAAAAAATTTATGCTACCACTAAAAGTGGTGCTCCACTACACGCTCGTCCAAGATGCTTCTGTAAAGTTTTTAAAACGAGGTGCCATTAAAAGTCGATTGACCAATGCCATTGAAAACGGCCTATTAACTTTTAACAAACTCATCAACTGCAACGATCGAATGATCGGATTCAAATTCGGCCACTAATGACTAAGAAGACTATAGAAGAATATATAATAAATAGAGAAATAAGTAATTATATATATTTGTAAAAAAACTTTTCAATGAAAAAGAAACTAGCAAAAAAATCGCTTATTTCACATCAACTCCAGCATCCTTAAAATCAACAACTAACTAAAAATTTTTTTTGTGCAGTCTATTTAGCAGACCTGTTAAAATTTTTTTCTTTATTTTTATTTTGCTTCATTTTTAGCTGCAAACGAAAAAATAATCTAGGTTTTTCGCCATCTCAATATCCGGCTCTATCTCAATATTGTGTTGTTTTCTTTGAACTAGTGATTCTCAAAGTAGTCAATGTTGCCCTCTAAAGATGATGAAGAACTTTAGCGGCTTTAAAGTAGCTCAAAGATTTAGACTGAGCGGAAAAGCTATAACAGACCACAAAAGTGGTTTCATAAAAACCATTGAAATTAATCTCTCTTTTTTTTTTTTCAGCAAAAATTCTAGTGATAGTAAGCTGTAATAAACATTGCTTCGGTTTATTTCTCGCTTAATAAAGTTGAAAAAGACATACAGAAGCTGATAATGACGACCAAATGATAACGAAAGACAATCTGGTCCAGCAACAATAGAAAACTTTATACCCCCCCACCCCAAAAAAAAAAAAAAAGATGATAAAGCATAAAATTTTGAGAAACATAGTTCGAAACTATAGTATACCCTTCTAATTCCGTTAAAAAAATAGCAGAAAAAGGTTACAAAAGCAAAACTCTACAAATTTCTTTCTTCGAAGAAAAATCATAATGCAAAACGATATTTGTAATAAGTTAAAATAATGACAAATTGTTTCAGATAAATCTCAAGTGAAAAAATTCTTAGGAAAAGATTTCCTTAACGTGTTGTCAGTGATATGAAAATGGTAATCTTCGACCTTCTTACACGTTTGCAGGTTTCATAAC